ACACACACACACACACACCACACACAGTCCTGTTCTCCACGCGTGGCCCAACACGCACGCGCGGATCCATTTTAATTCCTGGTTCTGTCTCCAACCTGACGCTCCGTAAAGGTGAACTGGCCTTAAGGGCGCGCGCCGCGTCTTCACGTGAGCCGGGCTAACAGCTGACCTGATCGTGTTTGATGTCATTTACAACATATCGCGATAACAGAACCTGACATGATTGGGTTTTTTTTCACGACTCCTTGTTTTCCGGATTTAAATGTCACGTTAGACCGATAAAAGCGACAAGAGATGTTTTTATTTTTTTATTTTATTGTTTTTATTTTGTTGTTTTTGACAGATGTTATGTTTTATCATTATTTTTTTAAGATTTGATATCATCCAATGATCACCTGTGACATCTAAGTGGAAGGAATTAGAAAATTATTGAAGGCATTTTAAAGGTTACCAAAACTTTATTATTACTTTATTTGAGCTGACAGAATGTCTGAGCTTTGATTAATAACAAAATCAAAGGAAATTTTAAAACTGCTGCCAGGGGGTACTTTATGATTGCTGTGGCAACCACAGTTGTGTCTCACTCCCTGAGAGCACTCATAGGGGGTAGACTGCTCGGTTTTTACCAAGTGATATCCTGGTCATTCATGGAGCACAATGACACATGTTTAATGATAGGCTAAGGACACCAACGTCACTACATACRATTTACTTTACAACCTATAGTTTACGTCACTGCACAGTTTACGTTTATGTACAGTCTGTTGTCAACGTATGACTTTTGTCAATATGTATGGTTTATATCTATGTACGACCAACATCACATATGGTTTTTGTCTACATATGGCCTACATCACTACGTACAGTTTACATCTCTACGTACAGTTTACATCACTACGTACAGTTTACGTCACTATGTACTGCCTTTCGTCACAATGTTTGGCTTACATCACTATGTACAGTTTACGTCACTATGTACTGCCTTTCGTCACAATGTTTGGCTTACATCACTACATACAGTTTACGTCACTACGTACAGTTTACATCACTACATACAGTTTACGTCACTACGTACAGTTTACATCACTACGTACAGTTTATGTCACTATGTACTGCCTTTCGCCACAATGTTTGGCTTACATCACTACGTACAGTTTACATCACTACGTACGGTTTACATCACTACATACAGTTTACGTCTATGTATTACCACATCACTACGTACGGTTTACATCACTACATACAGTTACGTCACTATGTACTGCCTTTCGTCACAATGTTTGGCTTACATCACTACGTACAGTTACGTCACTATGTACTGCCTTTCGTCACAATGTTTGGCTTACATCACTACGTACAGTTTACGTATATGTATTAC